GGCCCGATTTGGCTCTCCGCAAAAAAAAATAAATTTTTGGTTTGCGAGCGAAGCGAGCGATTTCCTGTCTTTCATTGGTTTGAGATATGAGCCAAATCATCTTTAGTTTCGTTAAGAAACTAGTTAAAGAAAAAAGAGAGTGAGAGAGTGAGAGAGAGAGAGAGAAAGAGAGAAAAGAAAAAAAGAGAGAAGAAAAAAGGGAAGATAGAAAAAAGTAAAAGCGTAAAAAAAGGTATAAGAGAGTAGAAAGAAGAGTGAAGAGTGTTCTATTTTTGTGACCTTCACGGTGACGCTTCGCTTCGCTCAGCGTCACCGTAAACGCAATCTAAGTCACGGTGCTGCGCACCGTTCCTGGCAAGATTAGGCTTAGGCTTAGGATATCAGCAACATTTTACTAGTTAGCCACTTTTTGATATCTTTCACAGAAAATGAGATATATAGGGTCAAAGTGGACGATCCGGGTGTCGTTCTATTAGAGGTTTTACGGTATTTGAAGTCGAACCGATAAATGTTCAAAACAATAAAAAAAAACTTACGGTACTTTTTCAGCAACACCAACGAATCCCAAAATATTCGGATTCTTCTTGAGATCAATCAGTACTGGAATCTCATCGAAAATCATTTTCTGCTGCGTCTCATCAGTGACATTTGCCGGACCTTAAAATTAACCTTACTCAAGTTTCATTGAACTATTTTTATACCTTTAAGAGTAACTGCTAACGATTTTCCATCCTTTCTTAGCTCTCCACGGTGCACTACATGGAACAATTCCTTTTCTAGCTCGTCAAGGATTGTTAAATTTTCAACATCAATCTCATTGGTCGGGGGTTCCTCATATTCTTCACCACTAGCAAATAACAAAGATGGATCTCGACTTTCGTCAGAATTGCTCATGACGAAAATCTTCTAAATTTATGGGAAAGAGAGTGTGAGACGCTGACAGTAAAAGAAAAAAGTAGAGACTGTTGAGTGCGCAATGGGGAAACCTTGTCGCTCTTTTGTTTGCTATCAGTTGCCCCCAGGGGGCGGAGTCTCGAGAAACCGGTTGTTGTGTTAGTAAGATTTGTGTTGGAGATAACGATATCTATTTTTATTCTGATAAGGAATATGAAGAAATTCATCGCAATTTCAATTGTTCCAGTGAATTGAAAATTGAGGAATAATACATGTTATAAATACAACATTCAAATTAAAATGTATTCACTCGACTGTTAGATTGGGCTGATGTCTCAACTTTGCTTCGAATTCGTATTTTTCGACAACCTGAAACTCTTGGATTTCTTGGATTACTCTTGTCATTCCCTCTGGTGTTCCTCAATGATCAGTCTCCGGCCCCTTATTATTTCTCATATTCATCAATGATCTGCTCTTAGAACTTGAACAAATCCCCTCTCTTCACCTTGCCGCCTTTGCTGATGATATCAAACTTACTCCCTCCTCCTCCGTCCGGGACTTGGGACTCATTACTGATTCCTCTCTCAAATTCTCTGCTCACATCAACAAAATCACATCTTTAGCTCTTCTCCGTTCCAAACAACTCTTAAAGTCATTTAGATCTAAGTCTCCAGAATTCTACATTCATCTTTTCGAATGTTATGTTTTCCCGATTCTTGAATATTGTTCTGTAGTTTATTCCCCTCCGCCTTCTTCTCGCCTTGCTCTAAAACTAGAATCTCCCTTAAGATTTTTCTCTCAGTGTATTTTCCAGCGTTGTAATATCCAGTACAGTTCCTATTCTGATCGTGTCTCTATCCTCAATATGTTCTCCATTCGTCATCGTAGGCTAAAAGCTCAACTAATTCTTCTCTATAAAATTTTAAATGGCTCCGCCTACTTTCCTAACCTAAATGCACATGTCAAATACTCCTCCTCCCCTCGTCGCCCTATGAACTTAATTATTGTTCAGCCCTACTCCTCTGACTAGTTTTCTTCAATTGTTCCCATGTGGAACGCCATCACTTCCCAAGTTACCCGATTTCTCCTACCTTCCGAGTTTGAATCCTTAATTTCTTCCAGTATTACCCGTTATTGATATATTTGCTCCCCTATTTTTCCTTTTCTACCGGTTACATCTTTTCTGTGTCAAATATCTAAATTATCCCGTTTCCCCTCCCCTACTCAGATCGGCCTCGTGAGGGGCATTTTTCTGAGTCTTTCATGTCCTGCCCTCTAATGTTTTATTACACCTGATCAATAAACAAATTAATTAAAGTGCACTCCAAAACAGGCCAAAGCGAATCCAAATGAGCATGCCCAGATTACTAAGAAATAAAAATTTTCGGTAATTTTCAAGTTTGAGCTTACATAACAATGGGTAAGCAATAGTCAGTGGTAGAATGAATCGATTTGAATTTCTAGAAGTGAACCAATAGGATCCTTCGGTTATCACTTCCTAAATAAAACCTGTAAAAGAAAGGCCCCTAACTTTGAGCAAATTTTTCTCGGTTCTTGTCACTGATATCAAAAAGTGATCAATGGATAAATTGCTTATCATAACATCTTAAACATTTTATCAGTTGACACATTTTTGATATCTTGCACATGAACCAAGATAAATGGACTAAAATATACGGTCTACAAGTTCGGTCACCCAAATCGTCAAGTTTGAGCTCATATATTTCGGTTCCTGCCAGAGATATCAAAAAGTAGTCAACTGACAAAATGTTTATCATTATATCAGCAATATTTCAACAGTTGATACATTTTTGATATCTCTTATAGGAACCGAGAAATATCAGCTCGAACATAACAGGGGAGACACTTTTATTGAAATTCTTTCAATTAAAATTACCGGCTTAATCAGTAGATCAATGATTGCATAGAAAAACTCAAAGCACGCCATAAAAACCATCAAATACTTGTAGGAGCCCATTGTCTTTGGAGACTTTGAAACTATGAGAATAGTTAGTAAGCAATTTGTGAAGAACGAAATGATGGCCAAAATCAATTGAGTCAAAATTATGAAGTCTGTCATTTTTCGAGATTCTCTTTTCTCTTTGAATGAGAATTTATATAAAATATTTTCTCGTTTGGTGATTGGTGTTAAACAATTTTTATTCGTATTTTTGAGAAAACGAATTTTCCAGAAAATGATTCAGCGAATATCACCGTGTCTAGCTACGGACTAGTGGAGTTTGTGACTAGAAGTCCTGTTTTTGTAGTTTTGGAAGATCTGTTACTTTACTAGTCAAAGCAATATATTTGTGAAATTTTTAAATAATATGTTAGTCATGCTATAATTATTGGTCTTTAGAGTTAAAAAAATTCAAAAATAAATCAAAACACGATTAAAGGCATTTTGGAATATTCGAAATTGATAAAAATCCGAAATTCCCAAAAAGGTTTTAGCGCATTTTCAAAAGCTTTACCTAATAAAGTTTGATGTTTTACAACCTCACCAACCTTTGAAATTTAAGAAGGCGGCGCTCTGCTAGGCTGGTATACTGTAGGTCTGATTTTTGAAAAAGTTTGAATTTTGGGTCTTCAGGAGCTTCAAATACATATGAAACAAAGATCAGACATATTTTCAAAAACATACAAAAAATCTTCCGCCATCCGTCATACAAATATAATCTATTTCAAATCCAAACAAAGCTGTTAGACCTACGCAAAAATTTTTTTTGGAAATTTTTATTTTTCGATTTTTCTCGCAATCCTTGAAGGAATTTTCTTCTACTTGTAAACATGATGATAAGTATTATTAATTTGCTAGCCATCTGTTTTATATTCTCCTTTTTCTCCATGTCGATTATTCTATCTGTCAGTGTTTATTGCATATTCAAGTACTATAATAAGCATAGCAAACATTCGATTTGTGTTCGTCCGGTGCAGTTTATCACTAATACTCAAAACAGTTTCAATGACTACGATATTGATTGTCCCGAGAATTTCGTGTGACAGTGAGTTCGAATATCCAGAAAATGTATTGTAAATATTTTTTTTCAGATTGGCTCATGTTTATGCACTGACAATTTTTAATACTTTGCAATTTTATCACCATAAAGGCATTTGAAAGTTAATAAATTTTGATTTTTGATTTTTTAGAATGTATTCTCATGTAAATCCATTTTCATTGGTCATGTAAATCCATTTTCATTGTTCAAGCTTTTCCAAAGTCCACAGACCCACAACGGGACACACAGACGCGTCTAGTGTTTTATACATAAGGATGATAAAATAAAGTAAACACTCTAATAGAACGCCACCCGAACCGTCCACTTTGAGCCTACATATCTAAATTCTTTTGAAAGAAATCAAAAAGTAGTCAACTAATAAAATGTTTAGTGAACCATTTTTTGATATCTTTCACAGAAAATGAGATACATGGGCTCAAATTTGACAATTCGGGTGGCAAACATCGAATCATCAATTTATACGAACCATTAATTTTTAGCTCAATTATCTCAATTCCTGTGAATGATATCGAAAGTTGGTCAACTGATAAATTATTTATAAGAACATCACCAATATTTTATCAGCTCATCAATTTTTGATATAAGAAGATGAAAATTTGAAAATTTCTAACTCTGGCTCAAATTCGTTGCAGGTTAGAAAAATTTATGTATACTTTATACAGAAAAAAAATTAACTTTAGGCTGTTTAACATGATAACACCAATATTTCATCAGTTGCCAACTTTTTTCTATCTTTTACAGGAAGCGAGATAATTGAGCTCAAAGTTGACGGTTTAGCTGAGCTTCTATTGGAGGGAATACGGTATTTTTCATAATCCATGTTTTGGGTCCCTTATTTTTTCAGGGTGCCCTCAAGTGTCTTGGGACCACAGAAGTTAGTTTTTTTTGTCTCCCGATCTTCTTTAGATTTTTCATAAATCTCTCTTCAAAAATTTTCCCACCAACACCAAACAAAAACCTTTTAGGATAATGATTATTTTCATCTTAATCAGATTTTATCGCCATCAAAAATATTTCCTCTTATGAGATTTGTTCAAATACACGAGATGTATTCTAGCTTTCAGAAGATGAGAGCAACTCAACACTTTCCCGATTGAAGAATCTTGTGGGCGGAAGATTATCTATCAGCTTTGTAATCACTTTCTGATCAACTAAAACCCTGCCATAAATATGGGTAGAATCTAAGTATTTTCCGAAAATTCTGATGCTGCCCTCTTGCAAAGTCTGCGACTTGAAACTAAATGAAAAATTATTCTTTCCCGGTGTATGTTTTAAATGTAAAATGTTCTTCCAACGAAGTGTTCAGAAGAGGAAAATGAAGAAATGCGATAAGCAAGACAGCCACACTTTTTCAGGTATTTCAACTTTTGAAATGTTTGAAAAAAAAGGAAAAAAAACTGATTCCTTTAGATCCCACAATTTTCTGCAGAAGTTGTAGATTCGAAAAATGCATAAGTATCGGAATGATTTTTGAAGGTTTGATACCGTACTTTGATAGAAGCCCCTATACGTTCAGTTTAAGCTCAATTATCGCGGTTCTAATAAAATGTATCGAAAATCTATTAACTAATAAATTATTTATCGTTATATCTCCAAAATTGTATCAGTTGACAGATTCCTGCTACTTTTTATAGGAACCGAGATAAATGAGCTCAAAATGCACGTATAGGGTGGGCTTCTATTGGAGCAAATCTCTAAATTCGAGGTCTCACGTTTTTCATTCAGAAGGTCATATCAAGCAAGTGAAACCTAAATTGGCAAACCCGAAAAGCCAAGACTTCACAAATTTCGACATCTATCTCCAGCTGCAGACATCCCAACAGATTTTCCATCAGAAATATTCAAATTTCAATATAAACGAAGGCGATGCTGGAGTCATTAGAGTAAGAACTTCCAGAACTTTCTAAAAATTTATACCGCATTTCCTCTAATAGAAAAGCACCCAAACCGTCAATTTTAAGCTCAATTATCTAGATTCCTGTGAAAAATATCAACACTTTTTCAACTGATAAAATATACGTGATATTGTGATAAGCAATTCATTAGTTGACACATTTTTGATATCTTTTACCGAAATCGAGATAATTGGGCTCAAATTAAACGGGTTGGGCGTACTTCAAAGGAAATACGGTAATTTTAATTTTTTCAGATTCATCAAAAGTTGTATAAATGCGCAACACCATTCGATATCAATTTATCCCTTCAACTGGGATTTCGGAATGCCATCGATTTTGCAAACCAGTTTTCTTCGTTCCGCACTCTAACCGGAAATAATAAGAAGCTAGTGATTTCAGAATATGGATTGGGATCTTTATTAATGGATCAGGTATTCAAAAGTGCTTACACCACAAATGATAATTTTTGGATCCTTCAAAATGAGAGCGTTTTACATCCAAATGTGGTAATTAAGTCAAATCAAGCCGAAAAAGATAATGGTTCAGATAGGTAACACACTTTTTTTTCAAAAAAAAAAACAAATTATATTTCAGAAGTCATTTTGAATTTGTCAATTATCTGCTGCAAAGCCTGAAAAAGCCATTCAAAGACCTGAAAATCGATAATCAGGAGTGCATGCTTCTGAAAATCTTGCTACTTTTCACTCGTAAGTTAAACGATAAATTACCGTAAATGCTCAAACTTTGAGCTCAATTATCTTGGTTCGCTGAGAGGTATCAAAAATTGGTTAAATAATAAAACGTTCACCATAATATCCCCACCATTTTATTGGTTTACAAAACGCTGTTATCTTTTATAGAAACTGAGATGATTGAGGTCAAAGCATACGTATTTGGCGGTCTTCTAATTGAGCATGTACGGTATAAAAGGGGTTGATAATTTCATCGTAAAGTTCAACGAAGCTTATATGTACTTCCATATATTCCAGGGGGCAGTCGAAAAAAACCTTTTGAATGGATTAGTCCACCTCCAAAAAAGTTACCGTAGTTTTGGCAATCTGTGACAGGTTATGTCTGCATGTGTCTTTGTGTTTGTGCATTTCATATCTTCTATAATTTCTCGACTCTTTCAAATACGTCTAGATTCCAGCATCGTATCTCAAAAGAGTGAAAATCGAAGATACGGATAATTTGATACCGAGATGTATGATGCATCTCATGAACCATTCAATGAACAAATCCCCGGACGATGGAATCGTTCGATATGGAGAGATTGTTCTGTTACTTGGTTCGATTCGAAGTGTAGTGAAAGCATACTACAATCAAACTAGAAACTCTGTGCTTTTTAATATTTCCAACTTTGATTCCTTCATCAAAAACTGTCTTGTTTCCTGAGCCAATCATTTTTTCCTTTATAGTCAAAAATAAAAAATAAAAAAAGTTAAATTGTCTTTATATACTTTACCTTATAGCTCAATTATCTCACTTTCTATAAGAGATATCAAAAAGCTGTCAACTGATAAAAAGTGGTAATTTTACAAAACATTTTATCAGTTGACCAATTTTTGATATCTTCGGAGGAACCGAGATAATTGAGCTTAACGTGCGCGTATAGAGTAGAATTCTATTGGAGCAAGTACGGTAGCAAGTTAGCGTGACGTCCTACTGTACTTGAAGCTCAATTATCTCAATTTGTATAAGAGATATCGAAAAGCTATCAACTGACAAAACATTGCTGATATTATGATAAGCATTTTATCAATTGAAAAATTTTTGATATCCTTCGCAGGGACCGAGATAATTGAGCTGTAAGTTCAAGTATAGGTAGCGTTCTATTAGAGAATTTGAAATTACAATAAGAGACTTTAGTAGAGGGTGAAAACCTCAAAAAAACCCACTATAAATTTTCAAAAAATTTTAAATAACCAATCTCAACCTCTAGAAAAAGAGAGTTTCCAGCAGCCAGTTCATTTTTCATGTCAGGCTCAGAAAAGTTTTATGTCAGGTCCTCAAATCCACAAAATATCCTGAAAAAAGTATATTTTAATCTAGCAGATAAGTCTTTATTAAAAATCAATCTCTCTATACCATTTATTCAAAATGACAAATTCGTGATCCTTCAAAATGACAAATTCGTGATCCAAACGTCAATTTTCTCCATTTTCAAAATCTTGCTAGACTTATTTCCTAAAACCTCCTACTCATGTTCTTTAGTCTCTTTCAATCCTCCTCAGCATTGTCTCTTCCCTGCATTTCCCCCTTCATTCGCATTTTCTCTCAGATTCCCTGTGATAATGATAGTAACAATCACTAATTTACTCGCACTCTGTTTTATCTTTTGTTTCCTCTCCATGGCAATTCTATTGGCTTTTGGAGTCTATTACATTTTCAAGTACAATTATGATTTATATAAAATGCAAAAACTGGGCGAAGATGTGAAATGTGCCCTTCCATGTGAGTTGATTTATGTCTAATGTGAGTGTAAGTTCCGATATTAATTTCGATTAATTTTTTTCATATTTTCAGCCTATGTCACCGTATCTTCTGATTCTGGCAGAATAACACCTCTTCCATCATATGATGATAAGGAACAACAAAACTATCCAAAGTTGCAACATTTATTTTTAGCATTACCTCCTCGTGTGTAAAATAATGAATTTTTTTAAAGGATTCTTTATTTCTGCCCCAGTTTGGACCATTGAACGATCAATTAAAAAAAAAATTAAGTCTAGAGAACATGTGATAGTTATCAATTCTTAAAATTTTCTCCTCTTGAAAGGTGTTGAAAAACCAAGTGCAATTGTTCTGAAAAGTATACGGACTTTCAAAGAAATCAGAAAGTCTCTGAGGGCTGTCGTAAGAAAAATTGTGCAAATGAATTATAAATTTCTCAAATTTAGGCGATCTTATTGCTGCCTGAAAGTTGTTTTTCATCAAAAATTTCAAAAAATTTGCAAACCTCGGTCAACCCTTTCAAATCTTCTGCATCACTATTTTGAAGTTCAGCATCGATATATATGACAAATGAGTAAAATGTTTCATTGTAGCATTTATTGGCAAATTTTGGGTTGTGCATGTCTGTGCATTTTTCCATTGGTCCAATTTGGCGATTTCAGTAAAATCAATATTTTTATCGTAATAGCTACGACGGAAGAATCGAATATAATTTAAACAGTTGGCATCCAGATGTTGAAGAATTATTGAAATTTCGTCGCCATGATAAATCCCCAAACTCAGATACTGTGTCTTAATGGTCCGTGAATTTTTATATTGCTCCAGGAATTTCGAAATATCATCGACGTCCGGTGAATCTATCAAGCTCCAAACTAGCTCAAATTTTTGAAGACATTGGTTTTGAAACTTCTTAATTATGTTATAGTCATTCCAGAATCCTTCCATGTGGTCAACATTCTCGATGAATTTCTCTTTCCTATTCTCTCTATTTCTGTCGAAAACCAAAGTTTTGTATCCGTTTCCCTGAATCATGTAACTGATATGAAGCATTTCCAAATGGTGGAACAAGTGGATTGTAATTTTTTTGCATTCCAAATGAATTTGTATCTGACTGAAATACAATTCTGGCTTCGAGGCTTCTACAGACTTTCCGGAGTGAGAAACTTAAACTTATTGTTTGTGGAAAACCAATTGAATATTTACAAAACTTACATCACCGATGGGTCAACATGACCTAAAATCAAATTCATAGGAACATCTGGCATATCTAATAAGATGATGAAAGGTGATTTTAATATTTTTGGTTTATATTTTCATTTTGTTCTTTTCAGATTTTAAGGATTTTGGTCATTGCAATGCGTTTCTTTCTTCTCGTTTCGTTTTATTTCGCCTTTTGAAATTGTGACTTGTTTTTTTTACTGTTCTGTTTTTTTGGACTTGCCAATAAAATTTGCACCACTTAATCAGATTTTTAAAGGTGGAGAGACATGGAAACGATATATACATTTCTCAACATTGTGTTTATATAAGCTCCTAGAGGAATCGAACTTGTGGTTCGATCGTTAGAGATGCCGCGTTGCTACCAGTTGATCTACGGTGGCGAGAGTTGCGCCGCCGAACGATGTGATATATGAAAACCATACATGTGAATGGCCGGGCCGGGCCGGCCCGCTCGGCCCGTCAAGGACAACTTTTCAAAAATTTCACTTTTCAAATGTGCCAAAATATTTTTAATAGCACAAATATCAATTCAAATGCATACAACCATCCGAAAAAGTCAATTTAATTGAATTTTGAGCGAAAAAATCAAACTTCATTAAGCCAAGGATGACATTTTTTTCTAAATACGACCTCTAAACAGTTTTTTCGACAGAATCGTCCTCTAGTGGGGATTTTTATTTATTAAGGAGAGAAGCCATCTTGAAAAATGATGATTTGCTCTAAAATTTCAAAATTTTCAAAAAGCGGGCCGGCCATGTGTAATTTTTTCCGGCCCGGCCCGGAACGCTTTCAGAAAAATCCCAATCCGGCCATGGCCCGGCCCGGCCCGCGGGCCGGCCATCTTTTCCACAAGTATGATGAAAACGACACAATAGCTACGTGTTGTATGTTTCCTGCACACCGTCACGTTTGAATGCTTACTCTCGCCCCGAAAAAAACTGAAAAAAGCTCTCTTGTCTGGCCTCTCACCAGCAGATTCAGTGGATTCTGGTTAAAAATTCATAAAAATCCGCAAATTTCATTAAAAATGAGCGCTTTTCAGCAAAACAGAGTGTTTCAACAAATTTTTGTGTGGATTTTTCTGAATATTTTTCACTCAAAACGTATGAAATTTTCAATTTCAAGTAACATATTTTGAAGGGGGTCCTTCTATTTTTCCAAGCCCCTCGAAGGACCATTCTATTAAAGAGGCCCTTATAATACAGGTTTTACGTTATCTTTTTGACCGGTACTATAGGTCCCAATCAAACTCCATACTAAATTTCGATCTCTGTTCCCAAGACTACGTGATTTTTGTGTAACTGAACTATGTTGTTTCCTGCTTCTCCTCCGAAAAAAGAAATTTCACACGCAACAGAGATCATCAACGACATATCATGTATGAGAGCCGGCACTACAAGATGTGTTGGGTTTATTCGTGCGAAAATTTAGGATCAAAAAGATGGAAAATGAGGGGATGAAACGGGAGGATACAACTAAGAACAAGTGCTTACCAGTACGAGTTTTACATCTAATCCCAATCTTAGTTTCAAAGAGTATTTAGTCGACTCTACTTGAGAACATTTTTTGCCTCTCCTTCTTGGACGTCATCAGAATACGTTTTTCCCTTTCTCACGGTACGTAAAGCATGAAGTAACGAATGTGTGCTGGATCACAAGTAATTCTTGATCTAACGAAAAAGTTTATTATGTCATTTTGACATTGATGTAACATATGTTGTCCTCATTTTTAAAGCTAGCACATTCTGAATTCCAAATGTCTCGATTCGAATGTGTTCTTTGTGGAAATCATACCTTACTTCATCGATATGGACCCGTCACTTGCTCTATGTGTAATACTTTTTTCCGAGGTGCCATCAGTGGAAATGTGGTCCTTGGGAAATGCTTGAGTGGTTGTTTTCGGAGGAAGGTGTTTGGTAAAATGAGGTTTTGATTTATTAGCAACGATATCCGAGTTTCAGACTTTAAAATAATGTGTCGCGGTTGCAAATTGGGACGATGTCTGGCAAGTGGGATGGATCCAAAAAGTGAGTTCCTTGGAATATTTTGGAAAGTCCTTTCTAAAATCTACTAGTAGTCCCTGGTTCCAAAGGAACTGAAAAACTAACATAATTTTAAACGGCGATGAAAGTTTTCTGGGTTTTTTGGCTCGAGAATATGCATTCGCCATTCTGACAATTGACGGTCATTCTGAAAATTTTCAGAAGTCTGGATCTCGGCAGGCAAATTTCCGATCACTTCGAAACTTTTGGAGGGTGTAAAACAGACCTAGATTCCAAACTTTACATTCGCGGATTTTTTTTTTCTTTTCGGCGTGCTTGTAACGGGCCGGGCCGGGCCGGGCTGGACTTTTTCCCGAATTTCGGAGGCCCGGCTGGCCTGTCATTCCACAAGTTTTGAAAATTTCAAAAAAACACATAAGGGGGGACCCTTGTGTGATTTTTTTCGATCAAAAAATTTTTTTCGAGTTTTTTTTTATATTTTTTGATCAAACAGACAAACAATCCAAAAAACACAAAAAAAATAGGAAACTGTATTGAGAGCTCAAAATTCGGTTCAAAATGAAAAAATTTTTGCTACCGGGTCTTCCGGGCCGGTCCCGCGCCTTGAAATTTTCCTCAGGCCCAGAATTTTACAAGTATGCTTTTCGGCCCTTTTTGTACTCAAAGTGTGGGGTGTCCTTCGGAAATCGGCCAATATCTGAATCACTAGAAATTTTCAAAAAGTTCTGGGATTGCAACTTTTTTCAATCTAGGTCTGTTTTACACCCCCCAAAATTTTCAAAGTGATCGGAAACTTGACAACGTTTTTCCAGAATCCTGAAAATAGTCAAAACGACTGAAAACCAACTGACCAATAAAATTCTAGATTTAACCGCGCCAAAGGCGCTCAAGCCAGCTGTTTGAAGCGCCGGAAGCGCACATGTATATATTTAACTGAACAAACAGTCACGACAACTACATTAATACTTCTAGAAATCTTCCACCGCCCATCAACCCCTTTCCAAGACCGAATTAACACAAAAACCGACTTCGAATGCCTCATAAAACTCCAACACCATCAAAAACACGACAACCGTATGATGAATCGAATAACTATCGATCGTATATGCAGCAGTTATCTTGTACAGGTAAACTAAAAAAAAATCAAAGCCTTGTTAAATTCAAAATTTCCATTTCCCAGATGAGCAATCACAACTACAATCGCGCCAGTTTCCAAGACATCAATATGGTCCTGAAAATGGGATTACTGGATGCAAAACAGTTTGCAAAACGTTTCGAATCGTTTGAAAATTTGAAATTGAAAGAGAGAAATTTGGTTTTATCAGAATATGGAATTGCTTACATGCTGATAGATCAAGCATTCAAAACTGCGTTTCATTCCAACGACAATAATATTTGGTTGCTTCAAAATGACTCATTTTTTCATAAAGAGCTATTTTTCAAGATTCCAGTAGAAGATATGAAATCAGAAGATATTTTCAGACAGAGAAGGTAATTTTAAAATTTTAAGCATCTTCATTTTCAAACTTTTAGATGTCACTTTGATTTCGTTCAAGCGCTGTTGAGAAATCTTGTGACACCATTTCGAAAACTTAAAATTGATGTTTTCGAATGTATGATCTTGAAAATATTGCTTCTTTTGGCATGTAAGTCTTGTCTCTAAACTATGGAAATCTAAAAACAAAAAAATATTCCAGCATCATTTCCTGGTTGTGTGAAGCTGGATGATCCAGATCGAATCGTATATAAATGCTATCAAAGTCTTCAAAGACATTCAAATCAAATTTCAAAAAAAAATGGCATCGAGAGATTTGGCGAAGTGATTCTGTTAATTGGAAATATTCGGTGTGCGGTTAAACATTTTTATAACATGACCAGATCGACAGATTTGTTTAGAATTTATAGAGAAGATCAGTTTGTGAACTCAATTTTGTTGAATTGAACTTTTTATTTGAATGCTTATTAAATTATTCAAAAACTGATTTGTGCATACTTGTAACGGGCCGGGCCGGGCCGGGCTTTTGCCTGAATTTCGGAGGCCCGGCCCGGCGGGCCTGTCATTCCACAAGTTTTGAAAATTTCAAAAAACAAATAAGGGGGACCCTTATGTGATTTTTTTCGATCAAAAAATTTTTTCGAGTTTTTTTTTGATATTTTTTGATCAAACAGACAAACAATCCAAAAACCACAAAAAAATATAGAAAATTGTATTGAGAGCTCAAAATTCGGTTCAAAATGACAAAATTTTTGATACCGGCCCCTTCCGGGCCGGGCCCTGGCCTTGAAATTTTCCTCAGGCCCGGCCCGGCCCGGAATTTTACAAGTATGGATTTGTGATGTTTTAGAAAAACTTTCAAACCAACGCCAAATTATGGTTTTTTGAGGATCTTTGGGGTAAGAAATTCTCTGAAATACAGTTTTTGAATCATCCGGTCTCGGTGGGGCTACTCACGAACAGTTTCTTATGAAAGACTTATTGATGAAGTTCTAAGTTCTAAAAAAACTACGCCTTTGAAACTAGTTCTTTTGACTCGTCGTTGTCTAGTTTTTAGTCTGTTCTTGGTCCGATATTAGCCCATATTGGCCATAGAGTAGCTAACCAATGAAATCGTCAATCAACAAGTTAATTATTTAAGAGGAACAACAAAGAATTGATTTAAAAAAAAGACTACTAGAATTTGTATCCGTTTAGCCGAAATGTGTCTGTGAACACTTCACCATTGTAACTCAAAAACAGGATATTAAAAATTTTATTGAGAACGTAGTTGGGCAATTCACACCGAACACTCACAATCAGGAGTATTCTAATCCAGCAACAACATCTTCAAGAAAGACTTGCACGAGAAAAATAAAGCAAACTTGTATGAACCGCTTCCATCTCTAGAAAGTTTCTCTCACTTCCGGGAATTATAGAGTACCAAATCTGATGATGACTATTATGCGGACGATTTCCATCGAACAATATCTCAAACCAACTCTTCAATTCTTCAGATTCGTAATAAGTCTCGTACTCCAGCGAGAAAAATTTGAGAGATTGATTGTTCAAGAGTACCTGAAAATGGTGTTATTTCAACAGTTTGAGAATTTAAAATTACACAAACCTCTATCAGATGACGTAAAAATTCCAGTGAAATTGCCGTAAAACCTCTAATAGAACGACACCCGGATCGTCCACTTTGAGCCTATATATCTCATTTTCTGTGAAAGATATCAAAAAGTGGCTAACTAGTAAAATGTTGCTGATATCCTGATAAACATTTTACTAGTTAACCACTTTTTGACATCTTTCAAAAGAAGTGAGATATA